CTAAATCTGTCATGTCATTGGCTTGACGTTCATTTCGAGGTCGCGAGATACGACCACGCCAATCAGGGAAGTGCATAGTGAATCAGGACTCATCTGAAAGCATGACACGTGACCAGCGATTATTACCCCAGTTTCAACGTTGAGTACACCATTGACGTCTGTTGGCAATATGAGGATTTCTAATTGACCCTTAACGGGGCGGTCGGGTAGCCTAGTGGTTAAAGCGTTCGATCGTCACGCCGAAGACCCGGGTTCGAATCCCGACATCGGTACAATGTGTGAAGCCCATTTCTGGTGCCCCCCGCCGTGATATTGCTGGAATATTGCTTAAAAACCAAACTCACTCACTCACTCTGACCCTTAGCTTGTTGACAGTTTGCAGTTGTTTTTTTCGCCGTTTGAGCTCGATTTCGTAGAGCTTGGTTTTGGATCACCCGATCCTGTACTCATGTCGCTGACTTGGGACGCCCTGAACGGGGTCGATCGTCAACATTTTGGGTTTGTTGGTACTTTTTCCATAGTCTGCTGATCAGAGACTGTGAAACATTGTACGTATTGGCCACTGCAGGTTCCTGCCTGTTTCAAGATGTCAATAGCTTGTAGGCATTCCGTGTTTTGCAGACGCTGCAACGCTAGTTCATAGTCAAACAATGACTGAAATCAAGTAAATCACAACTTATGATAATCAGAATCAATAAGACATGACTAATGGTCCTCAGAGATTAATCGACCGTCCTTGAATGTGTCAAAATCAGGCTTCACAAACTACGCACGTATGTGGCGCACGTGCAAACTTCAGGATGTGTTTTGGTATTACGTTTTACAGACATAAACGTTCTTGCAAAGGACGTTTGTCGCCAACACATATCTTTGTTGTAATGCTTGACGTTAACATTTATATTTCATGATGTCATACTCTTTTTGAAGAGTAAATATGCCATCAATTCACAGATTGTGTGTGTGAACATGACACATCAAGTCCATCGCCATCAGATGCGAGTAATCAGAGACTATAAGGGGTTCAGGTTTTGTTATTTCAAACGGCTCGTTCAGTGTACAATGGTGTAAAGCTGTGTTGATACCACCCAGAGACGTGGCTGTGTCAACAGAAAAGTATTATCTTTGAAAGACGTCCAGACTGGGCATTGAATTACAAGTTGTCAAATATTGACATACTGATCCGGTTATTGATAAATCTGATATTCATTGAACATATCCGTCTCTCTGGGATATTCGGTTTACAGAAAAATAGACATGGCTATATTTATCTTCCTTCAGATATATGAGCTAAAGCACTATCTTCACAAATACGAGTATGTACTTGGTCTAACATCACTTATAGGCACAGACATGCGATTGGTAGATATTTCCTACTATCTTATTATAAATATTTGAAACATGTTAAGTTGAAAGGAAGTCTTGGTACTCAGTATGGTGTGCATGTTAGTTAATTAACGATAAGTCGCTAATACCATCTTAAAGCAGTGACGAAACATTAAACTATTAAAATGTCCATTACTTCACCTTTATAAACGGGTTTTTTATTCTTATTTGTGCAGTCGTGTCCAGTACAACCCATGATTTGCGTGTGCGTGCGTGCGTGTCTATGCGCGTGCGTCACCGATATAAACAATATGTCGGTTATATTACGGTGTGTCAGCTAAATGTGTTAGAGACGTCCAAAGTGACGTAGGTTGGAGACCTTTTCTTTGGTGAAACTCAGGCCACGGGCAGGATCAGTGTTGAGAGATCAATGTTCATAGCCTATCGAGATTCGAATACACGACCAGCGGATACTGGCATCAAAATGTACGGTAGAACATATATAATTTCATAATGATATTTATCAATCACATGTTTGTCTGGTCCAGACTCGATTATTAACAGGCATTTGTCATATGGCTGGAATATCGTCTAGTGCTGTGTTGAAAATCAAACAAAACAAACAAACGGACAGATATATATCGCTCTTAAGGTACATTCGTCACGCCAGGTGTCCGCCCCCACCCATCCAATTAACAGAATCGTGCCCAAAGCAATTACTAGCCACGTATCTTACCTGCTGAGCTTTTGAACAACATCATAACAAGTGTAACTCTATTCATTCCGATCATTACCTGAGTCCAATGATGACGTAGTTGTTTGCATCAAATGTCATTACTGGCTACCATAAAGAAAGTCGGTTGATTACAATGGGTTCCATCTTACAGACTGACTTTCATGTTACTTTCTGGTCAATGTGTACCGTGTGAGAATGATTTGTACCCAGGTCACATTGGTTGCGTTTCCTTGGCTCCGTGGGGATTCCAGGACAGAAAGGGTCCCCATTCTAGGAACCATTCTGGATTTAATGTTGAAATGCGATCTTTGGTGAAAACTTACAAAACATTATTATTTGTAGTTTGTGTGGGTCCTAGACAGCCCATTTGGAACCTTTCATTGGAGTATTCAATAATCCCACGTAAGTGTGTACGCTCCCTTCATTCCTTGGACCGACCGTTGTCAAGCATCAGCATCTCTGGTTTACATCTGTATCTCCTGCATTGCTTACAAGGACTAGTCCGGCTCTGTGCTATAAGCACCAGGCCGACAGTAATTGATGTCATATTGGGCAGAAACGTTATTTTCCTTATTACAATAACAAAATTATCAATTCATTACACTGAAGACATTCGTCATTCCCCAATCCTGGTCGGCCTAAACATTAAGCATACATATTTAGGTCCCAGGAATCACAGAGATCTAATCGCCCACAAATCACATGTATTAATTGTCGATCACCTACAAACATTCGCCGTGCATGCCGCCTTGCTAACGCCAGATATAAATCATCGACGACAGGGTGGAAGAAGAACCATCAGAATTGAATTATAAGACTCTAGTGATGGACGTGATCCTCAAAATAGATTTACCTTGTTGAAGGTGACATATATTTGTCGAATCGATGACCCTGCCAGAATAGTGACGTGTGATTATCCTGGAGTTTTGCCATTAACCAGTGTAAATAGGATTGATTTAGATTCCAGAAGCTCTCTTATATAGCTGCATTAAATGCGTGTAGAATTAAATGTTGAAACGTTAATGCACGTTGCCTTATTACCACTCTGTGCAAATATGCAACGTAAGGCTATTATGATTTGTTGGATTCCGGTGTTAGGATGTAGGGATATATAAATATTTGTCGTCATTGAAAGGTTCCAAATGATCCCTAGTTTTTGGTAAATGAGTGATTTGGGTTGTATCACCTCTAAGAACTGTATTTGAGTTATGTCACGCCTGATGTGGGAAGAAATCCTAAAGTGACGCAGGTCTTAGATGGTGTCCAGTTCGGAGAAACCCACGCGCAGGACATGGTGCTGACGAACCTAGAAACATAATCAGGGCGAATCTGGGATACTAACACACCCAGGTTTGTCAGCACGGCGCCCGTGTGGGTGGGTTCCATCAAGGCGGTAAACATCTACATCCGGATCTCCTCCAACGTAAACATCCATCCACGGCTGATCGGGATAATAAATCGTTTAAGTATTTGTGGATACTGTTAAGCAAATAAATTGCTCTAATAATAGAAACCAGTGCCTTTTACACGGACGAACGTGTATGATTGAAAACGTCTTAGTGGTAAGGATTAGTTGAGTAAACGTTATTTCCCAATATTCAAATACTAATTTTAATGGCTGTTACTCGATAACGTTTCAGAAATGTACAATTCGTGCTTCCTTTTATACTCTCTCTCTGTGTTTATTATCCGCAATAAATCATCTTATTGATTAATTATCTTTCCTAAAGGGTTTGGGGTTTTTTTAATTGCCAAAAAATAGTTTTTTCGACAACAGACACAATTGTAACGAGCCACTCAATGTTGTTGCCTCTGGATATGATATACGTATAGTGACAGCTGCTTGGAGTTTGCGCTAAGAGACGACTGATTCATAGAAGAAATGTTCCCTTCGGGTGTTGATGCATTGGCGTTATTAACTATTTGAACTGTCCTCCCAGTGAAGAGACCGTGGTCTCAGCATCAGTTTAATTCTCAATGATACCTCATACTTTGGTCGTACCTTTCATGGCCTCATTCAAAGAGGGAATTTGCTTTCGATTTTACCATAGATTTTAACGATCAGTTACAAACGACATCTTGTTCTGCATCTTAAAAGAAAGTTTTAGCAGAGTGGTTGAGGAGTCTAGTCGTTAATAAATTGGCTAGTCACGCTAGTCCCAGCATGTGATAATGCGCCTCTCATCGAGATATGGATTGAACATGACCACAAGAGGCGTAAACTCATTCTCATACACCTACATGTACGTCCATAATTAGACGACATTGCAATAACAAGTGCTGAACATATACAATGTGTATGAAGCCAAACATTGATGTGAAGCGTGAGACTTCCTATGCTCGAGTGAGTGAGTTTGGTTTAACGCCGCTTTGAACAGTATTTCAGTCATAACGGCGTGTCAGGTTAATGTGAGCGGAAAGCCACTTTGCTGAAACCAACGAGCACGGGAATGGTGCTGAAATATAATCGGAGCGAACTGGGATTCAAACCCACAATCGTAGGTTACTGGCGACCCCAAGGGACCGGTGCTCGAAGGTTGTTCTAATAACTAAGTAACGCCTTGATTTGGCTAAATAATTACAAAAGTTATTAAAAGATTACTAGGCTGAAAACAGACGGCGAAACACTGCACACTTCAGGTCCAAAACACAACTATGAAACCCGTATCAAATACACACCACCGAATAACCATTTCGGGGTTGTTTTATTTTTAGCCTCCATCAAACATGGGTGTATACTTTCCTTCATTATATACATACAGATTGAACATTTACGTGATACGTTAATCATACTTCAGATATAACACCAAGTGTGGTTCTGTTGAGTTATCATGTTGAGGCAGGTTTAAAGCTCATGTTGATCGGTGTACCAATTTTACATTTATGTTCAAGTAGAATGAGATATGTTTATTTATAGACATTTTCTTTTCTTTTTTTCCAGATATATCAAATCCGGAAGGTTGCACTCTCTACGTCAAGGCCTACGGTTTCTATCTGCGACAGTTAAAGCAAATTTAGCGGTTGTGTGAGTATTCCAACTCTTGTCGCCATGTGATTGTCAAATAGACAATAGAGGCGTGCGTAAATTCATCTTCCCGCGGCAAGAGAGTTAACTGACTTTAGAAGTCCTGTTTCCACCCTTGCCGAACTAGGCTGGAATAACTGGGCTCGATCGTAGAGCCACCAGTGGCTGTTACCAGTTATGTCCCTTTTAAGCCTCTCCTATGGACCAATCAGATTCCACCTCTCGTATCACTTGCGTTCGCTTCACACAAAATGGTGGCGCCCAGTCAGGACGATCTGATCTATAATCAAGATCTATATTGTGATAAAACGGGTCTTAGATCGCGAAATGCATCAAATCACGTGAGCACCTTGATTAAAAACATGAAAAGATTTGGAAAATATCTGCTGACAACGAGTTGGCGGTCTTCATGTTTTGCAAATCCTGCAATCGACCGAAATCTGCACGACAGTTTACGAACCGGATTTCGATTTCGGTGCGAGATTTTCATTGGACTATGCATAGACTCGTTAGTCCAGCCAAAATGTAACTCCATAATACCAGTCTAGTTCGGCAAACTGGACTTTAAAAGTCAGTTAACTCTCTTGCCCCGGGAAGATGGCATAAATTGGACACGGGCTGTTTCGTTAACGGAACACTATTGGAAATCTGTCTTCGTTTGTGTACTCACTGTTTAACTATTTTATTCACAGTTTCAAATGTTAATATTGTGTAACAATGTGGTTCATATGTAGTCAAAGGTGTAAATAATGTGTGACAGTGTGGTTCATCTCCAATCGCAGGTGTAAATATTGTTTCACAATTTGATTTATCTCCAGTCATAGGTGTAAATACTGTGTGATAATGTGGTTAATCTCCGGTCACAGATGTACATATTGTGTGTCAATGTGGTTTACCTTTAGTCAGAGGTGTAAACAATGTTACAATGTGGTTCATCTCTTGTCACAGGTGTAAATAATGTGTGACAATGTGGTTATCTCATAATCACAGGTGTAAATATTGTGTGACAACGTGGTTTATCTCCAGTCAGGGGTGTAAATAATGAGTGAGAATGTGGTTTATCTCATAATTACAGGTACAACTTGTGTGTGACAATGTCATTTATCTCCAGGCAGATGTGTAAAAACTGTGTGGTTAATCTCCGGTCACAGATGTAAATATTGTGTGTCAATGTTGTTTATCTTCAGCCACAGATGTAAATATTATGTGGCATTGTGATTTTACCGCCAGTCACGGGTGAAAACAGTGTCTGACAATGTGGTTCATCTCCAGTCAGAGATATCAATACTGTGTGGCAATGTGGTTTCACAAACACATGCAAAGGCAAGTCAAGCGTTGACCTTAAACACGGAAATTGCATCGAACATTATATTGGTCACTCATCTTTACTAACGCCTTGAATGTTGTAACCTGGTCGGACTACTTTTAAGGATGAGTCGGATGGCGCTCTTTGAAATCTCTTTAAAAGAGCTTGCTCGATTGTACCCCAAAGGTTGTGAATCTTCTGGAATATTGCTAGACACAAAGGGAAAGTAGATTAATGAATAGGTTACGTTGATAGTTTTGGAATAGATAGGGATTTGGCCGTTTTGACAATAATTGAACGAGATGAGATCAAGGATATTCCTGAAGCATAAGTTACATTTCTTGGCCAAATTCCGATACGTAATACTATGCATGCCGAAACAGATCATCAAGGTGGGGAAGACAATTCGTGTCCCTGGGGGTGCCTTCTTCTTGACAAAATACCATGTTAAAAAAGTTGACATGATGGTATCTGTGAGGAAATCCAGCATTTCACATATTTTTGCTTTCATTTATGCCAAATTGTTCTGAATCTTTCAAGAACGAGAAGCAGCTATACATACATACATACATACATACATACATACATACATACATACATACATACATACATACATACATACATACATACAATGTTTCCTTAAAGTTAAATCTTTTGACAAACTTTTTTTCTTAAATTGCAAAAGTCAAGCAGCAAATTCTTGAGTTCTTGAGAATCCAAAAGGTATTATTTACACTTGTTTTAAACATATTCTATGAATCTATAGAAAAGCATTCCTTGATTGTATTATGGATTATGGTTGATTTTTGTGACAGAGATTTGGTGTTACATTTGCTGAATGTTTCTGGAGCAGTGGAGCTTTGGAATGCAGTAATAGACACGTCTTCATGCAACCGCGCGTCTGTTTTCACAACTAACACCATTTAACAGAAGCGCCGGGGCTCTAAACAATCCAATAATGCTTTCAGGAACAGGCATGGTGTGAAATTGATGGAAAAGTTCCTGTTCACGACACTCGGTCGCTTAGACCTCAAAGTGTAATGTCCCTCGATGGTGGTTTACTGCTATAAGAGTCATTTCTGTCAACATAATCATTATAAAATGGACTTAATGATCCGGGGCAATACATGTAAGTGAAGCCGGAGACATTGTGATGTATAGTAACACTCTCTGCAACCTCCTCGCTGCACGGAGATCGACTTAACTGATCATGCATATGTGTAGCAAGCCTCGCACGTCAAATTGTACCACGTTAACTCGAAGTGTGTTGTCAGGGTGACAGAGCGAGTGAATATTGTTATTGGCCTTGTAGTGATGGAAGAATCAAAGCCCGATTAACCTTGGAACTGGAATTCTTTTCATAAAGCGCTACAAAACGTGAACAGGGCCCCGTTCCACAAAGCCATCTTACCGCTAAGGTGATCGTAACTCCCTTACCTTAACACTGGCTTACGATAGTCGGAGCGCTAAGATCGCTTCGTGGAACGGTGCCCAGATCTTGGACTGTCAGCACCATACCCGTAGCCATTGGTTTCACCACAGCGGTAACCGTCTCCATCATTTTAGAGACTCTTCATCACTGTTGTTGCAGGATGCCAGTGACGACGGCTACGAATGCATTATGCCTCATAAAGTGTTACGAACGTGATCCTAAATATAACATTTGTCACGATGACAGTACCTAAGATTGCTCCGAATAAAGATTAGTGAACTTAAATGATCGCGCGAGGCTGGTTTTAAGGCACTCTTAAAGTACTGTCGGAAATGCTAGAAAACTGCTGCTTTTTGCCTGTTTAAAAGGATATAATTTTACACAGACTGTTGTTATTGAAATATCGAGTAACTACCGATCGCCCTACCTGTGGTTTGAAGTATTTCAGTCTAAAGAAGTCCTATCAACAAGTTTACAGGAGACAAATTCGAACGAAAACAGGAAATTCACATTTATTCAAAGTCCAATGATGGCAGTCTGACGGACTATAGAAATATGCACACGTGACTCCGTTATTATGATAATAATGTAGTCTTCATAAAACATCTAATCCACACACAAAAATCATTTGGAGAAAAATCTAAATGTGCATCTTCCAAAATGACAAAATGACGCTGCGTTTGTTTTGTTAACATTGCTCCCATGATGCATGTTACATTACACTTGCATAGCCATAACCTTGGTACAAGATATGGCGTCTGTACTGGGAAATGTATACAAGATTTTTACACTTTAGAGAGATAGACGGAAAAAACATTTATTAATTTAGATGAATTCCCGAACTGCCCAACCTATGGGGTTTTCAATTCATACGATCAAGTCTACGGTATGCTAAGAAAACAGAAAGGTATAAAAACAAAACTGGGACGCAACAGGATATCAGACAGTTTTGATACAGGGTGATTAGGCGTATAATATACAAGCTTTATGAGCAGAGGTAACCCTGACTTGTAGTAGAATTTGGGAGGAATTAAAGATACAATCAATGTTAACTGCACTAACTATTGTTCTCCAAGAGATGGAATTTCTATACATTATGGAGATGACCGAGCTCTTTTCAGGCGAAAATATTCCATCCTGTCTATGATGTCACATTATCTCCGAACCATTCATAACTATCACAGTCAAGGCGTCAAGATAACTTACCTTGATGAAGCTTTCCACTGACTACGTGTGGCTATCGGCAGATGAACAAAAAGCACACATGGTACCATCAGGTAAAGGTAATCGTGTCATTGTTTTGCACGCTGCAACCCATGATATGGGGCTTATTGATAGATGTGTGCTAGTTTTCGAGGCGAAGAAGAAAACTGGAGATTTTCATAAGGAAATTATAAGAGGTGATGTGTTCATAGAGGGGTTGGAACAACCATTTTAAACAACGTCAGTGTCATTGTCATGGATAACGCCAGTTAATATAACGTCCGGGAATCAGAATCTGTCGCCCAAACCATGAGTAGTGTGAAGGCGACCATACAGGAATATGACATTGTCGATTTCAGACCATAGTTCAACTCATGGAGAAAATTCGACTGAATAAGAAACCAGTAAAGTACCAGATATATGTGCTGGCGGCACAACACGGTTACGTTGTCTTACGTACGCCAGTCAGACATTTTGAGCTCAACCCTGTTGTGCTCATCCTGGCTAAGTGTAACGGGTTCGTAGCAAGACATAGCACAACATTCAAAAGTATAGATTCATATTCGTCATCAGCGGAGATAAATGCTACCTCAAGAAACCATCTGTAGAACAACAAATACTTCTGGATTCCAAACCGCAACCTTCCATTACTCATCCCGTTTCATAGCTCTTAACTATTCTATCATGATTCCAAGTAAATATGATGCAGTTCATATCCTAAATTGCTACCCCATCAACGCATGTCAATTAAGTACAACAACAGCATTATTTTGAGACCACCCCCAGCTCGATGACCACCACTCCTCCCCACTCTTAGCTTAAACATTGAAAACACAGTCCGTGTATAGATTTAATTACCGTGGGTGTTCTTGGTAAGACAAAAGATCCCGATAAACTCATGCGTGTCGCATTAGGCAACCATACGGAGCGGTGGTCAGACTGGATGACTTTATTGATTGATTGCCATCGTACCCCAGCGGCGTAGATCGATTATCATGATGTCAATCATGGTGTCTGGTCCATCCTGAGGTTGAATATTGCTGAGTGTGGCCATAAACA